TCTATCTATCTATCTATCTATCTATCTATCTATCTATCTATCTATCTATCTATCTATCTATCTATCTATCTATCTATCTATCTATCTATCTATCTATCTATCTATCTATCTATCTATCTATCTATCTATCTATCTATCTATCTATCTATCTATCTATCTATCTATCTATCTATCTATCTAAGTAGGCTTTGCATCCCTCTTGGGAAGCCATGTCATCAATTGCTCTTTGCTCAGTCTGACACGTTTCTTTTGTTTTTACGAGTCTACGTTAAATTGTTATTTTTGGGCTTGACAAATTAAACTAAATTTGATTGATGCAACCCATCATCGAAACCCGAGAACCACCCTCTTCCTCTTCTACAATTATCTTCGCTTCGTAGGGTTCATGGTGTTCGTCGGTTTCTTCTTTCATAATCTAGCCATGGAGTTTCTGGAAGGTGATGGGAGACGAATCTTAACGGTTAATCTGTGGAAGGATTTGTTGTTTGTGTCGTTTGAATTGGATTTCTTTATAGTGGGTAAGGAAAATTGGAACAGTTATGGGATGCATTCTAATCGTTGTCATTAGTGACCATCTTAACTCCTTTATCTCACTCAAGAATACTCATTCAATGCATCTCTCCTCTCTTTCAGTCGGTGAATCTTCATGTATAAAATGGTGAGAGTTCATCCTTTGAACATCACTTTTTCATTCCTTACAACCCAAAACTTTCTTTGAGTAGAATGGCGAACTAATAATCTTCCCCCCCTTGCTTACTTGAAGAAAGCCATTATAGCACCACCGTTAAAATCTCTCTGCTCAGATTTTTGGAGGCCAGGAATGTAGAAAAGAGGCGGCGAGGTTATGGGCGTCGACATGCTCCTCCTCGACACGCTAAGTTAACTCCGATGAACAAAAAAAAATCAATCTCTCAAAGTGTTATGATTTTAGCTACAAGTTCTTTAATTGATGTTGATATCATTGCTTTGAATCGTGTCAAATGTTTGGTGACGGACCATCGTGTTTCCAGAGTTGAAAATGCCATACAGAATCAGATCGACAATCAATGTAAAAGCAAAACGACGTTATCAGAAGCCAATATGCGTTAAAAGAATTAACACTGACAATCAAACACAGATGATGTAACCTTTATCTCTCTCTCTCTCTCTCTCTCTCTCTCTCTCTCTCTCTCTCTCTCTCTCTCTCTCTCTCTCTCTTTATATGTATGTTTATATTTTTCTCATACAAATAAGCTTATTTGTTTTGCTGGCGCAGTTGATTTGTTGGGGAACTTGCGATGCATGGTAACATCAAATAAGAGTTCTTTACAATCTACATAATTACATTGACAAAACCGCCGTCTTCTTTAGTTTGTGTTCTCTTGCTGTTTTTTTTTTTCAATTTTCATACTTCACTCTACCAAGACTCAATTAAGTCTGGCAAATGTAGTTTTTCATTGCAACTGTTTAACTTTATTCCACAATATCTGATGTGTTGATACCCAATGGCTGATGCTAACTTGCTCTGTGGTAGTAGAAACCATAGTTTGACATAAAGCTGAGACCTCCCGTGGGTCAGCATTTGAGTTCACAATAACTTTCTACTTGGGTCCGACAATAACTTCGAGCATTATGAATGTTCTGAACCAGAGCCAGTTGGTAATGTTTGTTAGTCGACTGAGATGGTAACTTCGTAGTTCTTCTTGGAAACATGGAGAGCAGAAGCCCAACCGCAATAACCATCTCCACCAGTAACCAGAATACTTTTCTGTTTCTCTGAATATTTTGAAAAGGCTTTATAGGATTGAAAGTCTGCCTTAAACCAAACAGTTTAACCAAACACTTGCTGTTGGTTAGTGAGGTAACTGAAGGGCATGAAGCTGAGAATAGATGAGCCATTTAAAAGGTGTATTATTGATGATTCTGTCAAAGACACATTCACCTGCAAAACAAAAACAGCCAAGATTTAAGACTATTTTGTCAGCGTTGATGATGGATGCGAACTGTGAAGAGAGATGTATGAAACTTTTGTTTTAGATTCGTTAAATTCCTTCGTGATATGTACCAAATCGGTAGTGTAATAAAAATAGATTATTGAGTAATTTTGTTTAAGATGAAGAGGATATTAGTTACATAAGAGTAAAAATGTAAACTGGTTTTAATAAAATCGTTCTCATTTCATTTTATCAATACAAAATTATTTCTTTGAAGATATTTAAATAGAATAATCATATAAGAGAACCTTTTTTTGAGCAAGTTCTTTTCCTCAAAATACTATTCTCATATAATGGTCGAACTGAAAGAAACATAAACTGCTAAACAATACTTATGTGATAGAAGTTGGAAAAAAAACCATAACAACATAAAATTAATCTCTGCAAACACGATTCATTTCTACCTTGAAAAACACTTAGAAACAAAACTCAGTCCAAAGTATTAAAAGTCAAATATTTAGAGCAAATAAAGTTAGAAATTCCATGTAACTTGGTCTACAAGTTAATAATTACAACAAAAAAAAACATTCCAAAATTTGGAAAATCAACCATTTGTTATACGACCGCCAAAAACTCACTAATAACTTTTTGGCTAATGGTTAAAAACTCCCTCACTAATAACTTGCAGGGCCCGAAATACCAAAAAAAAGAATGATTTTAGATTCGCCCAAATAACATTAAAAAATACAATAATCAGTTAACGAACTTGTTCTATCTTAAAAAGTCCAAACAATAAAAACATCCTTACAAGTCCATGGAGTTTTAGAAAAAGATAAATCAACATTGCTTATCTATATGAAAGCTCAGAGTCAATCAAACTATAAATATATAACTAAAATATTAAGCATTTCAGGCTTTGGTTGAACATCTTAGAGAGCAGCTTCACCAGATACTCTAATCTTGCTGACTAAGTAACCGTAGTTAGGATTCGTTTCATAATGTTCCCGCTCTTTTCTTCTTGCAAGCATCATCATGTCCACGTTCTTATTACTTTCTCCTTGCGAACCGCTGACGATTCCAACCCCAATGATGTTGCAGCATGTATGATAATTTCTCGAGAAGCTTATTAAGGCAAGCATTACTTTATGTTTGGAACAGATTTTCTAAAGATCAGCTACATTACATTTACATGCGTTGTTTATTTGGTTACTCTTATAATCTTATTAGCTCAATGTTAGCTTACCGAAAGCAACAAATGTCATGTAAAGCTTAAAAGTCAAAATAGACTATGTCATCCGAAACACATAACAAGACAACCCAATACAATTACAACTAAACATCAAAATTCTTTTATATTAATTACCAAATCCCGCGCGGGTCTCCCCTAGTTTATAATATTGAGTTCGTAATATCAAAGCTGCTCTAATAGTTTATATTTCTAGATATATATTATATTTGTTATAACTTATAAATTTTACTTCTTTTGAATATTACGAAGTTTTGGCGAAACCCCTACCAAATAATAAGTTAATTAATTAAAATATCATATATGCTCAAAATATCAACATCACACACACACACACACACACACACACATATATATACCAAATGCATAACGGACATAAGTAATTTTCTATAACAAGTTCAGAGTTCAAATTTTGTCTATAAGAATTAATGTGCAAAAAATTGTTAGATGGGGATTATGCGTCTTAGAGAACTAATGTCTAGGCATGCTTTAGATCAATTTTCAGAATGCCTAAACAATTTTTTTTTTAAAAACGGGTTTGAAAAAAATCACTTTGTTTGTCTGCCTAGACTGATTTATAAAACAATGATAAGAAGAACCAAAACTTTCATGTATCCATTTTCAAAAAAGAAAAAAAAAACTTTCTTGTATTCTTATTTTATGCAAGTATTTATATCGCTAATATACTAAAACAAATTAAGAATCGAATTCAAAACAACTTAAACCATTCAATAAATAGGTAAATTACAAAGATAGGAAAAAACTAAAAACAACCACACGTACGTATTAGGAAATAAAAACCATCCATTTACGTAGCCTCTACTTGGTAACCTCCTAAGCCATGAAATAGTCGTAAAGCCCCTTCTCTTCGTTTCTAATTGCTTTTGAAGAAAAAATCGATCATAGAGAAGTCTACCTTGTAGACCTCTCTCTCAAATTCGATTCCCATTTAGTGTTACCAACATCAAATATGCGTCTCCCTCGTAATTCTACCCCCTTCGTTCTCCTCTTTCTCGTTGTTGTTGTTGCGCCAGCTGTATCAGCTGATGTAGCTATCTTGAGAACAGATTATTACCAAAAAACGTGCCCCGACTTCAACAAAATCGTGCGTGAAGCTGTCTTGACCAAGCAAGCTCAACAACCGACAACTGCCGCCGGAACACTCCGTCTCTTCTTTCACGATTGTTTCCTTGAAGGTTGTGATGCCTCTGTTCTGATAGCAACCAACTCGTTTAACAAAGCGGAACGTGACGATGATCTTAACGACTCTCTCCCAGGAGATGCTTTTGACATTGTCAATCGCATTAAGACAGCTCTCGAGCTGTCTTGCCCTGGTGTTGTGTCATGCGCTGATATTTTAGCACAGGCTACACGTGACCTTGTGACGATGGTAGGAGGACCTTACTTCGACGTAAAGCTTGGTCGTAAAGACGGACTCGAATCCAAAGCCCATAAAGTCCGAGGAAACGTCCCAATGCCTAACCAGACGGTCCATGACATCCACGGGATGTTCAAGAAAAACGGGTTTAGTCTACGTGAGATGGTAGCGTTAAGCGGAGCTCACACAATCGGATTTTCTCACTGCAAAGAGTTTAGTGACAGGCTCTACGGGTCAAAAGCCGATCCCGAAATCAACCCGCGATTCGCAACCGCTCTGAAAGAACTATGCAAAAACCACACCGTGGACGACACGATCGCAGCGTTTAACGACGTGATGACTCCGGGAAAATTCGACAACATGTACTTCAAGAACCTAAAACGAGGACTAGGGCTATTAGCTTCCGACCACCTCCTTATTAAAGATAATAGTACCAAACCGTTTGTTGAGCTTTACGCAACTGACGAGAAAGCATTCTTTGAAGATTTCGCACGTGCGATGGAGAAACTCGGCACGGTCGGCGTTAAGGGCGATGGAGAAGGAGAAGTAAGACGTAGGTGCGACCACTTCAACAATCTTAACGTATAAGTGAAGGAAACATGAAAATAATAATATTTATGTTATTTATTTGCGGGGAGAACGGATAATTGTGCAGAAGAATGATTTCGTTGGTATATATATATATATATATATATATATATATATATATATATATATACTATGTATCGTAAGCAAGATCATGTAACAGTTCAATATGAGATGTTTTTTTTTTCGTTAAATTGAAAACTGTCATCTAAAAGTATATTATTCATCGATGTATCAAGCCGTTGGAGGTTAGTATACATTGTATGGTTGATAATGTTACCGATAAAATTAACAATATACACCAATTAATCCACCCCCACCACCCCCCCCCTCCACCCCCGGCGCCCTCGTTAGCGATGATAGGAAGGCAAGTAACAGATCGTGACTTTAGAAAGTCATATGTTTGATGAAACAATTAGGTCTCTAAAAACAGTATATGTGTGCAAAAGATATTAAATAAATGGGTTGCAAATTATTGAGACAAATGTTTAAGGAAATATAAAGATTAATTATAGGCATATTTTTCTTTGAATTTGTTTTTTTACTTTTCAACTTATTGCTCAACAAATAATTTCTAGAGATATCAAAACCTATTGCTTATTAGTGTTTACTTTAAACTTTGAAAATCAAACTATATGTTCCTTTTCAAGGAATTTTAATGACGAGGCATATAAAATATTTTTTGTAACGAAGAAATAAATAGAGCCACAAGCTAAGATTGACCCGAGAAAAAAGGCAACGAAGCAAGTGGAGTGGCAAAGCGACACATGAGCAATCTAAAAAAAGGATGTGGTTACCTTCATCTTAGCAGATTTTTTTTCTTTAAATGGGATCACAAGTTACCATATACAACTCATTAAAAATACACAATGAAAATGTTGATGAACCTCGTTACGTTTGTTTTTCTCTTCAATGGTTGCACGGCCAACAAAGTGGCAGATGCTCTGATTCAAAAATCTTGCAAGGAAGCTCCAAAGTTTACAGGTTTGGCAAGCCAATGGCCAGATTTCGAAATGGATTGCATTGCATCTCTCAAAGGGAATCCGGAGAGCCAGAAAGCGAAAAATATCGATGATTTGTTCGTGGTAGGAGCGAATAACGCCATAGAATACTTAACTAACGTGAAAACAACTGTGGAGGATATTATAAAAGAGAAGAAATATAAGAGTGGCCTTAGTAAGAAGTTGTTGGAAGAATGCCTTAAGCTTTACTCCAAGAGCTCTCACTTCTTAATCTCAGGTTTGAATTACCTCAAAAAGAAGAATTTGGATAAAGCTCAATATGCTTTTGGGGATGCACAAGACGCACCGATATTTTGTGAAGTGAAATTCAACGGTGACAATCAACAAATATCTCCCGTGAGAACAGAGAATGATCTTCTCTTAACATTGATTACAATTCCTGAGCTGTTTGTTATGAATGCGAGATATGATAAAAAAAATAAGACAATCAACAAATGATTCAAATGTATTTATAATCTTAATAATTACAACTATTTCACCAATTTCGTTTGATATAATAATTTATAGTAAGATCAATGCTTTTCCACTTAATATTAAACTTTCTGGTCTATGTATAAATTGCATTGAAAATCTAAAATGATACTCCATCCGTTTCATTTTAGTTGTCGTTTTAGATTTTTCCACATATATTAAGAAAATATTTAATTTTACATATTTTTAAAATAAAAACACAATTACCTATACACCTAACTATATTTCAACCAATAAAAAAATAGAAAAGTATATAAAGTTAATCATATTTAATGAACGTGAAAAGGATTGTGGAGAAGATTATAAAAGAGAGGAAATATAGGAGTAACCTTAGTAAGAAGGTGGTTGAAAATTGCTTAAACTTTAGTCCAATAGCTCTCCTTTCTTAATCTCAGGTTTGAATTACCTCAAAAAGAGGAATTTTTTTTTTATGAAATTTGAAATTATTGATCCATCAGTAAAATTGTAATATGTACACAAGCCAAATAGGCCTTAATGTTTCTTCATTCTATGTTGTAAAATAATGAAAGAATGAACTAAACTATAATGTGATCTCGAACCAACGCGTGATTAAACCACCATATTTGTGATCTGGTTTGTATCGTAGAGAGGTGAGCCTGTTTCGCATGGCTTTATCAATCCTCCTTCTCATCTGGTCAGTGCCCATCACACTTTGTGTATGACGTCTAGCATTTATCTCCCTTTACAAGTGGTAAATGACACTCTAAAATAGCAATCTCGCAAGAATGGAGCCCATCGCCTTGTCACTCATACGCTGCATGCGTGATATGTTCCATTCCCAATCCGGATTAATCCCTCTACCAAGAAGCCGCCTTGCAAACTCTTCCCAAACCGTATAAGAGTATGGACAAGCAAAAAACAGGTGATCTCTGGTCTCATCTCTTTCCCCACAGAAAACACATCCCTGCACCAAGCCCCATTCCTTCATTCTATTTCTCTAGATAGCATGTTCTTGATTGCTAACTAAGTGATGAAGGTGTATCTTGGTACACCTTGTGAAATCCAAACCACTCTGCTCCACGGGACTCTATCCCTCTTGACCCTCACCTGATCCCAAGTTTTTTACGCTGAGAATGTAGGTAGATAAACGTCATATGCATGCTTCCATAGCACTATATCGGCCCCCTTCTCAACCTATGGAGGTGCAGTCGCTAGTATGTTGTGATATAGCTACTGGAAACGTCTACTTCTCTTCCCTCTGATAATCCAACCTTCCCCATTCACAGCGTTACACACTCGAGCATGACGCAGAACCCCAAGGTAAGTGGTGCCAGTAGCCCCTGTAACATCGACGACCCTTCTCCGTCCAATTGTCAAACCAAAAGTGACAAGTCTGCCCATCCCTAACTTCAATTCTAATAAATCCATACACCTCATCCCTTAACTTGAGTAGTTTGCTCCATATCCAAGACCCTTTAGAATCATCTCTGACATCCCATAAAGAGTTGTACTTTAGGAGATAATGTGTCACCCAACTTTACCAAAGAGAAGAGGATTGAGTGAAAATGCGCCAGATGAGCTTCATAGCAAAAGTCTTGGCAGAATCCCGAAGCTTTCGTATCCCAAGTCCACCCTCTTCCTTAGGCAGACACAGATCCTCCCAACTCATCTTTGCCTTGTGTGTTTGTAGAGGAGACCCTGGCCATAAGAAAGCGCTACACATGCTCTAAATAGTATCAAGACATCTTGCAGGAAGTATGAAAGTAGAAATCCAGAAATTTACAGTGCTGGCAATGACTGACTTGATAAGTTGCAATCTTCCAGCAAAAGAGAGAGCTCTATTACTCCAACTAAGCATCCGCCCTCTAATCTTGTCTATCAAAGGCTCATAATCATGAGGCGTTAGGGTCTTCGTAGTTAGCGGCATACCCAAATAACGTATGGGTAATTTTCCCACTCCAATACAGAGGGCCTCTGCAGCATCTAGAAGAGGTTGTTGGTTACTTCCAGAAGCGAATAGAGACGATTTAGCTACATTGATGTGCAACCAAGACATACTAGCAAGACGGTCCACAACTCCTATTAATCCCTTGAGCGAATCTGGTGTTCCAGTAGTAAAGACCAATATATCATCCGCAAAACTAAGATGGGTAAGTTGTACTCCTTGACACTGTGGATGATACTCAAATTCCCCCGCCTCTGCTGCCTTATTCAGGAGTTTTGGAAGAACATTGTTGAGAATTACGTACAAGTAAGGAGATAGAGAACAACCTTGACGAATTCCTCTAGCACTACTGAGGAAACCCTCTAGACTTCCATTTACTGATACTGAAAACGCGGCCGTAGATATACATTGCCGAATCCAGTGAATGAATTGCAGGGGAAGGGCCATGGCTTGTAGAACCGAGATTATGAAGGAACATTTCACTGTGTCAAAAGCTTTGGAAATGTCGAATTTGATGTCACATCTATCTTCTTTCCCACTTCTATGATACCAATCTACTAGTTCTGAAGCCAGCAAGACATTCTCCAATAGCAGCCGCTCAGTAATAAACGCACACTGATTTCGCTCGACAGCTTCCGGGAATATAACATGCAGTCTATTAGCAAGGAATTTTGAAATCACCTTGTAGAGCAGGTTACAAAAAGCAATGGGTCTATAGTCTTTCATTGTCTGGAAAGTTACCGTCTTTGGGATCAGGGTGAGGATAGTAGTGTCTACCCCTGTGGGCATGAACCCATAGAGGAAAAAATATTGTACTGGAGATGCTACATTGTCACCGTTGAATTCTAATTCGCAGAATATCGTTCCTACGTCTGCATCTCCACTAAGAATGGTATATGCATCATATATTCGCTTTATAAACTCATATTAATCTAACCATGATATGATGCTATATTTAATATATTAATATTTTCATATAATTGTACTACACCTTATATTTCAAAGTCTATATTTTACAAGCTCATATTACTCTAACCATGATATGATGCTATATTTCATATATTAAGATTTTCATATAGTTGTACTATATCTTATATTTCAAAATTACACTTTATAAACTCATACTACACTTTATATTACATATATTAAGATTTTGTAATATAAAGTGAATGTTACTAATGCATCAATATGTCATTAAAGTAGGTTTAGGTTTCATTACATTTTAATAGTATCGATATAATATTTTGTCTATATCGACATTTTCATGAGTTCTCTACCTCAAAACCATTTCAAGACATTTGAGAATGGAGAATCCAACCAAATGTCCTTCATTTCATTTTTTCTCCATTTCAAGACATTTGGAATGGAGAATCCATTCAAATGTCATTCATGGCATGTTTTTTCTTCATATATGAAATATCCAAGTCATGTCTCACTAAATTTACCCGTATTTATAAAGCATAGTTAGACGACATATAGTGACATCAAATATGTCGATATATCATCATTCTTAAGGTGACATTTAATGGACGAGATACATTTTGTTAAGAAAATATTACAAATAGTATTTTCTATAATTATCTTCCTAATAAAATAAATAAATT